ACTGTCTCACTCACCCTTCACCACAACCTTAAGTACTTACCTTTATTGTCTCTATTTTGCAAGTGGGGAAACTGAGGCACAGCTAATAAGTTACCGAGCTAGAATATTAACCTAAGTAGTGACAGCTGCCTGTTTAGCGTGAATTGTCAGCATGAGCGTAACTGTCGTAGGGAGCTCCCTGATGGCTTCCTGTTGCTGAGTAAACCACTCTGTTTCTAGGCTCCAGAGAAGGAGGAGTTCCTGGCCTGGCAGCATGATCTGGAGGTGAACGGTAAAGCTCCTGCCCAGGCTCGGCCAACTGTATTTCGATGGACAGGGGGCGGGAAGGAAGTTTACTTATCTGGGTCCTTCAACAACTGGAGTAAACTGCCCCTCACAAGAAGGTAATTGCCTGGGGTGTGCATAGTCACGTGTTTTTCTTAACCCAGGGATACCTGGGTTTCTCAGTGATTCCTGTGGGTGACTAGAAGAGGATGTTTTCATAAAATAGATGCAGAATGGGAAAACAGTCTTGCGCAAGAGTTCACAGGGTTCAAATCTCACAGGCACGGAGTCTCTGGGTTGAGAGCACACTTAGGAGAAAACAGCTCTCGGTTACGAGTGTTTGTTTCACAGACATCTTTCACTTCAGACATTCCGGCTGTATGTGTAGACAGGAAGGACTTCTCCTTCAGAAGGAGAGAGCTCTGTTCCTGGTGCAGTGGATGGAACACTGGGCCAAGTTGGGGTTTGAGCTGAGCCTCAGTATTCCTCTCTAGAGAAGGGGGTATTGGAGCAGATGATCTCCAAGCTTCCTTCTAACTTTGACTCTGTGTATTACTTTGTTTGAAAGGTACGTGTTATGTAGGCACCATTAGCAAGACTATAGTCAGACACCACGTCAGGAACCCTAGCGTGGACTTCTGTCCCACGTTGTCAGGGTAAAGCATCTTCACTAGTAAGTACTTTGGGTGAACCAGATGGAGAAATCGTGCCCTGCTGGGCCAGGCCTGGTCGTTGTCAGGGAACTGCCTGCTTTCCCAGGGGTATGGTTGATGTAGGAGGCAGCCACTCAGCCCAGTTACAAGTCGGTGCAAGTTGGGAACAGAACAGTCAAATGAAAGAGGTTTCCTGGAACCTTTTTAAAATAGTTACACGAGTTTCTTCAGAGAACTATTTGTGCATCCTGTTAAATCCATCCCCTCTCCTGCCCCAGGCAAACTAACAGGGTAAAACTTAGCGAGCAGCTTGCTATTTATCTTTCGTTGCCATCAATCCAGAATGCCCGATGTTAATTTTGCACACAAGTTAAGGACAAATACCTGTTTGCTGACGTTTTGATGGTAGGAACGTGGATTCTTGGTATTTGAGCAAGGCGAGTTTTCAAAGAAACCTCTTGCGTTGCCGCTTCCTGGTAGCTTTTCTAAATTGAGATCATTGTACTGAGTTGTCTAAATTGGTTTAAAATGTTTACTTCTCTTGCAGCTGAACTCTTGGTTTTACGTGGAAAGGTTTTGTTCCGTAGCTGGTTTTGCAAGTCAGGTGGGGAGAGTGGCCCACCCTGCTGACACCCTCTGCTTCCTTTGTCCTTGCAGCCACAATAACTTTGTAGCCATCCTGGATCTGCCCGAAGGAGAGCATCAGTACAAGTTCTTTGTGGACGGGCAGTGGACACACGACCCTTCCGAGGTACGCTTCCTCCCACCCTGTGTCCTCTGGCTCCCCGCACAGTCCAGACAAACCACCTGCCCTCAGAGATGGTTGCCAGGTCCCTCTGTCACGCTGGTGGCCGAGCGAGATAGCAGTGCTCGTTGTCAGACAGTTGGCAGACTTGACCGAGATGAGCAGGTTGGCTAGCCAGGAAGTGAGCCTTTCCAGCCGGGAACTTTCAAATCCTCTAGCGAACACCTCCAGAGACCATCAGCGTTATGATTTCTGCCTGTCTGTCTCTTCCCAGCCAATAGTAACCAGCCAGCTTGGCACAGTTAACAACATCATTCAAGTGAAGAAAACTGACTTTGAAGTATTTGATGCTTTAATGGTGGATTCCCAGAAGTGCTCCGATGTGTCTGGTATGAACAGTTACTTTCTGCTGCATGTGTGCAGGTGGGGGCTGTCCAGTCTTGAAATACGCTCGTCTCTCTTGCCTCTTCCTCTTGGCTGGAGCTGCCCAGTCAGGTGGACGTTTATCGCTCCCTAAAGAGCCACAAAACTGATTCCTAACTGTCTCAGGTCAGATCATTGAAATCTTGCCCCGAGGGAGCTGGAAGTCATTTTTTTTTTTTTTTCGGTCAGCTCCAGTATTGAGTAGGTCTGCCTGGTCACGGAGAACGGACAGTAGAAACAACCAGGACTTGATCTCGTGCCAGGGCAGGGCCCAAGAGGCCCAGGAGAGTTGCTTTGGGTCAATAAGGAGCCAGCACTGGGAAGGCATGCCAACTCCCTACCTGCTCACGACCTGCTCGGGGCGCCTGGAGAATTTGAGCCTGGCAGGTGAAACGTGGACACCTCAGTGACGTTGCCCGTCACTGGTGTGGTCCATTAGCACCTTGTCAGCATCCCTTCAGGGGAGAAGGAGGCTCACCACCGGAAGCAGGCTACACAGCACAGCCTGCTCGGTATGGTCCTAGTAAAGCTCTCCCGTCTTCTGAGAGCCTTCCAGTCGTCGCGCTTTCAGTAAATTGCCTTCCATCTAAACCCACAGGAAGAAACTGGAAACATAATATGTACAATTCAGGGAGAAGGATGTACTGGAATCTAAAGCGTCAACACCAGCTGCACTGCCCTTTCTTGCAGGGCTTTAAACAGTTCCTGGACCCCTGTGGGAGGCAGGGAAGAGATTCGCTGGGGCTGCGCCTGATTGGCGAACAAAATGAATTCAGTTCAGTTGATAGGATGATTCTTCATTGTTACCTGCCTGGGCCTGGAGGTTCTGCCCCCGAGATCTCTTATCTTTATCAGCTCAGAAATCACACTGGTAGACAGACCGTATGGCTGACAAGTCAGGTTATTGAGTGGAGATTGGAAATCCAAAAAACAGCATTCTTCAGTCTGGATAGCTAAGTGATCTTTTAGAGAAGCTATTTCTTTCTTGCTCACATCAGTGGGAACGGGGGGATGGAGGAAATGCCCAGAGACCCCCTACTTGCTGATAAATGTAATCTCAGGCCACATACCGAAGCTTTAGTCAAGTTTCTGCGGCAGAGATCCTCTGGGGAAAGGAAAGTGACTCCTCGCTGTTGGTAAACCAGCCTCAGGCTCTCTGTGCCCTTTCTCATACTTAGACCCTCACTTTCTCAAAATACACATTTATTCCTAATGGCTCAGTTTTCTGCGCCAAATGCTTTTCTAGTTTCCTGCTGTGATAGGGCTGGGTCAGGTGAGGGGAGCTGCCCCCTAGACGATGACGTGGAAGGAGTTGGCAGAGGCAGGGCCATATCAGCTTTATCTGGACAGCACTCGTCTCGGGCAGCCGGACCCAACCCAGGTGGCCTTTGGATAACAGCTCAGTCAGTCCCCGCCAGCTGGCCAGACATCACTTAGTGAGCAGCCCCTGAGCTTACAAAACGCTACACTTCTAGAAGCTTCTTAATGTACCTGTATAACTGAGATCGTCAAGCAAGAGTTTGAAAGGGACCTGAGAGTGATGGGCGGAGAGCCTTTAAGGCTCGGGTTTTAGTTTTTTGTGGTGGTTTTAGTTTTGGAACGTGCAGGTGCCTCTGGATGAACGGGCCGCTTTCTGATCGGTTTTACTCTGGCTGGCGGTGCTCGTAACTGGGGCTTAGCCGAGGAAGCCTCTCGAAGCCGTGGGCTTCTTGGCGGTGTTTGCCAGCCCGGCCTGACGCAAGAAGGAGGGGTTTTCCTGCAGCAGCTTCCTGTGAGTCTGACCTAGACAGCTGCCGTCCGCTGCCAGGGCAGCTGAGTTCACTGCTGAATTTTATGCCTGTCACTGCAATTTCAGAAGGGTTTTCTCATTGCCTTTGCTCTTCACCCTTGGGGCCTGAATATCCTTCCCAAGAAAATAAATCTGTGCTAGGGGAACAAGAGACCGGGAAAACTAAGACACCATAAATTAAGTGAAACTGCTCCCAGAACTCCTAGTTTTCAAAGGAAATGTCCTGTCACCATCTCCCAGCAGAGCTCTCCAGTTCCCCACCAGGACCCTACCACCAGGAGCCGTACGTCTCGAAACCAGAGGAACGGTTCAAAGCCCCACCCATCCTCCCTCCTCACCTGCTCCAGGTCATCCTGAACAAGGACACAGGGATTTCTGTGAGTACCCAGACATCTGCCCAGACCATCTCTGCTGCTCCCCTTTCTGTCCACCCCTCGCAGAGCAGCTGGGGGAACGGTCAGTGTCGCCCAGCAGCGTACCTGCCGGGCTCCGCCTCTGATGTGGGGGTGGGCTCCTGGCCACATGTGCCTGGAGTGTGGGTGCTGCCTCCCCATCCCACAAAGCCTTTCTGAACTCCTCTTTCTCGTGTTCCATTCCTGCCTTAGCCCCATTCCTTTTACACTTCATGACAAAACAGACCCATCCCTTCTTGGTAAGCTGTGAAACGGAATTCCTCCTCTGGCTCCTGAATTTTAGAGTCTAGTTTAAATCACCAAATTACTTTCAGAAGCATCAGTATTCCTGGATCACAGTTTGGGGTACGTGGGTAGCACACATTCCCCCGGGAAATTGATATTATTTGCAGAAAGAAGTGTGCCGCTCCTGGGTCCCGAAGAGCTCCCCACTACTCCTCATGGTTCATTTTCTGTCCCATTTAACCCAGACGGCCTGGTTGCCCCAGCTCTGGACTGCACAGTGTAGCTGTAATTCTTGAGAATCTCGCTATTCTTCAGCCTTGTCCTGGCTACCACCTAAAAGGCACATGCTTATAGGTGATAAGGTAACCGTGCTGCTGCTCTGGACGCCATGCGGAAGTGAGTGAACACGTGCTGAGGCGAGGAGCTGAATGCACACAAGTGCAGGCGTGTTCCCCGGGGCCTCCCTGTTCTGGGGGCACCAGGTTTCCCCCCCTGGGTCAAGAGCGCCCCCAGCACATGCCTGACAGTGGAGCCAGCTTTTGTCTACACCTTTTCTGTTGTGAATCAGCATTTATGAAATTGGGGCGTGTACATTGGAAGGAAAAGAAACCTGGATTTTTGGCTTAGAAAATAGGAAGGTGTGGCAATACTGCGGGTCTTGTGTGGGCTTTATAGAGTAATAGGTCTCTTCTCCACCCCTACTCCCGTCATCCGTTCATTCTCCAGGCTCCCTGCCTGAATCTTACTGACATGAGTTTGTGATCAACTGCGCAGAAGTGTCGAGTATGCCTTGTATCTTCCTGCTTTCTCTAAAAGCACATCAACTAGGTGGCTTTCTTCTTGCCCTTCCTTCAGCAAGAGGACAGAGCTATGGCCCAGACTTTAGAGACGGCAGAGCCTGACCAGAGACACACCAGTGCACCCAGCAGGCACACACAGGGCTCCCCTTAGTTGGAGCATCAGGCACAACCCCTCACCTACCCTGTCGTGGACGAGCCCTTTCACTGCCCGGGAGCCTGCCTCCTTCCCTCTGACATCCAGTGCTGTGAATCACACGGGAGAATCTGCTTGGTTCTGAAATCCTAAGTGCACACGTGTGCTTTTGTTCCCCCACAGTGTGATCCAGCTCTGCTCCCTGAGCCCAACCACGTCATGCTGAACCACCTTTATGCGCTTTCCATCAAGGTAAGGACACCCAAAGTGTGCTTGGAGGCCCCCTAGCGATGGGATTCTGCAGAACATACCTGAAGGGCAGCTTCCAGGACCTGACCCAGACCGGCAGTCTGGTTCCAAAGGCAGGCCCAGGGATCTGCTTTCATTAAACCTTGATTCTCACGCTCTCTGAAATTTGAGCCTCCCAAATTAGTCCTGCCTTTGATGATTTCCGCCCTCTTCCTCAGGATGGAGTGATGGTGCTCAGCGCGACCCACCGGTACAAGAAGAAATACGTCACCACCTTGTTATACAAGCCCATATGAAGAGCTGGGAGCCGGCAGTGGGCCCCAGGGAACAGTTTGCACCACCAGGCTCCACGTGTGCATGCTTCCCACTTGAAGGAATGGACTGCAAACTTGTCGTTTCACACTCTTTGTAAGACATTTCATACCTATCCTAGTCCGACTCGGAAGTTTGTTTGAGCAGCAGCTCCTGAAGCGCCTCGGTCTGTAACAGTCCTCGTGACACCCAGTGGCCGTGAGCCCTGGGACTCGTCGAGGCCGAGAACGGAGGCCGGGGGAGGCCAACTGTCTGCGGCCCCACCCCGCAGTGCTGAGGATGGCCGCAGTTCTCGGCGTGTATCCTCTGAATCATGGAGATTTTTCTTAAGCCAAAAATGAACACCAGCTACTTCGTTAGTGAAAATCTGGGAAGCAGGAACCGAGGCTGCACAGAATTTCTCATCGGGGGTGTGTGTGTGTGTAATGACTTGTCTCTGCTGAGGCCTGGCTGTGGACCAGGAGGATGGCGTTGGTCCTGCCTGTCCTCTGAAATCAAAGCAATACAATGTCTTCCATTCTCTGCTCCAGGGAGGCAGAATTTCTATAGAAATTAGAACCTGTCTGATTTCCAGATAAAGTTTTAATGATTGTTTCTTACACTTCTGTGCACTAAGTTTTATTTTGTTTTGTTTTTAAACCAGAGGTGGCTGGCCAGACAGCCTTAGGGCAATTTTAAAATCACCCCCGAGTGGACCTAGATCATGTGACCTATTCTCAGCAATAATCTGTTCTCGGAACAGACTTTGAAAACTGCGGCCGGATTTCTCCATTAACCAGGATGGACCTGAGGACTGACCACTGTTAGCCGGGAGGCTGTCTGGCTTGTTGTTTGAATCATAATGAGGTGACAGTGTTACGGAGAAAACCGTAGAGGCGCCTGCCTTAGCCTGTGCCGCCTTTCTCAGGATCCCTGTCCCTGCTCAGCAGAGAAGGCTGTAGCCATTGCTGTTGCTTATTCTGGAAGGAAATTAGAACTTGCAGCAGCCTTCTGAATTTGTGTCAGGAAGACATCCTTTGGACCAAAGCAAATCTCTGCACATGGCTTGGTTTCCAGGGAGATGCCAGAGACAGGCCATTAGCGAGGTTCCTGTCCCCGAGTCGGCAGAAGCCATCATTACGCCCTGTGTTCCTGCTGGGCGACCGAGGAACAAGCTCCCTGGTTTCCAGCATTTGGTAAACCTGAATCTGGGACACTCTTTTTTGTTACTGTTTCCAAAATACTGAATTAGTGTCACCTTGACGTACAGGTTTCAATAAAGCTTTTTAAAGATAATGGACATGCGCTTGGAGGAAGCTTTGTTTCTGTGCAGTCATTTGGAGAAGAGACTGCAGCTCTCCCTGAGGTGTATTCAGTGCAGTGCTTTTCAGTCTTTCACATCTTGGCACGCGTTGAAAGTGCTACCAGCCCCGTGGCACTCTGGGGTGAGTGGACAGGAGAGCCCTGCCACCTCTGGGCTGAGGGCCATTACTCCCTGACCTACTTTTCTGCACCCAGTCTAGAAGGCTATAAAGAGGCTGTGACAGTGAGCCCACTTGAACTACTCAGTCACAAGGGGGAGCTGAGGAGAGGCAGCAGTGAAGGTCCCTGGCTTGGGCAGGCTGGTGGCACCCCCAGGTCAGAGGTTTTGCTGTTTATAGCTCATTGACGGGCACCATGGGGAACCTGGGATCATGGATCCTGCTTGGAAGACGCCAGGATGTTCTGGAGTCAGCTGTTCTCACCAGCTAAAATGGCCTCTGTCCCTCTACCAAAGAGATCGAAGGTTAGTGTTCTTTTTCTTCCCAGGCATCCAGAAACATTTCAGTAAACCCAGGAGGAAAGCCAACGTCCAAGTTCCTCTGGTCCACTTGAAGTGGAGCGAGCTTAGACAGCATTCCTAGCTGGGGAGTCTGCTGTTTCACTCTGAAAGGTCAAGTGGTGTGAGAACCCTAGATTTAGAGACTGGAGGGATTATTAAGTAGTCTAAGAAAATAATGCAAAAATCTTTGCATTATTTGGATAAATAATTGGATAAATTTTTTTTCCTGTTTGGTATTTTTTTAATGAAGTATAGTTGATTTCCAGTATTATGTTAGTTTCAGGTGTATGGCATAGTGATCCAGTATTTTTATAGATTATGCTCCATTATAGGTTATTGCAAGATAATAGGTATGATTTTCTGTGCTATAAATTCTTGTTGCTTATCTATTTTATATATAATAGTTTGTGTCTGTTGTTAATTCCATACTCTGTACATCTTCCCTCCCCTTTTCTCATTCTCTTTGGTAACCACAAGTTTGTTCTCTGTAAGTCTGTTTCTGTTTTTTATATTCACCCATTTGTCTTATTTTTTAGATTCCACATATAAGTGATACATCGTATCTGTATTTCTTTGACTTAATTCACTAAGCATAATATTCTCTAGGTCCACGCACGTTACCGCAGTATTTCATCCTTTATGACTGAGTAATACGCCAATGTATCTGTGTATACCACATCTTAAGCCAGTTGTTTGTTGATGGGCACTTGGATTGCTTCCATGTCTTGGCTGTTGTCAGTAGCGCTGCTGTGAACATTGGGGTGCATGTGTCTTTTCAATTTACTGTTTTTGTGTTTCTGTATGTATAGCAAGGAGTGGAATTGCTGGATCATACGGTAGTTCTTTTTTCAGAAACTCGACTGTGTTGAGGAACCTGCACACTGTTTGCCGTAGTGGTTACGCCAGTTCACATTCCCACCAACAGTGTACGATGGTCCCCTTTCCATATCTTCTCCAGCATTTGCTGTGTGTTGGGTTTTTGGTGATAGCTGTTCTGACCAGTGTGAGGGATACTTCACTGTGGTTTTGATGTGCATTTCTCTGATAATTAGCAGTGATGAACGTCTTTTTGTGTGTCTGTTAGCCATCTGTAGGTGTTTGAAAAAGTGTCTATTCAGTCTCCTGCCCATTTTTGATTGAATTGCTTTCTGATACTGAGTTGTATGAGCTGTTTGTGTATTTTGGATATTAACCCCTTGTTGGTCACATCATTTCTAAATATTTTCTTGGATTCCTTAGGTTTTCTTTTCGTTTTGTTGATGGTTTATTTTGCTGTGCAAAAGCTATAAAGTTTAATTAGGTCTCCTTTGTTTTTTTTCTTTGGCCTTGAGAGACTGATGTAAGAAAATGCTGCTGTGATTTATGTCAGTGTTTCACCTGTGTTCTCTTCTAGGCGTTGAATAGTTTTCGGTCTTACATTGAGGTCTTGAAACCATTTTGAGTTTATTTTTGTGGATAAACTATTTTTGAAATAGAACTGAAAATACACAGCTAAGCTTGAAAGTATAAAAGGGGCGTGTTCAAGCACTAGAACTGGAGAGACTTGTTCCTGTGTCGACGAGTTGTGAGCAAAGCCCCTAGCCCCGTGGTGGAAACTCTGGGGGGACAGTGGTGGGGCTGTTGCTAGTGGATGTAACCATGTCTAGGTTCTTGTCCTGTCCCAGAAAGAATTCAGAGACAAGATGTAGTGGTTAAAAAAAAGTGAAGTGAGAATTTATCGAAGAATGGATAGTACACTCAAGGGGAGAGCAGACAGGCTCAGGTGAGTGGCTGCCTGTGTTTCTCTGGCAAGTTAGTTACATAGGATGTAAAAATGAATGGGTGGAAGGGCTTGGGGTCGTCGTATTCCCTGATTTTCACCCCAGCTCTGCCTTCCCGAAGGGAGGAGGGATTTTTGTCCTTATTTAGTCTGGATTGGAAGTGTCGTGGTGTCCATGCATGATGGGTACGTCTGATCTGCAAGGCTAATTTTATTGAAATGAGGGCATAATAAGCAAAAGGTTACATCTGGACACTGGAAATTCCTGCCTTTTCTCACCTTTCTTTGTTGGTCTCCAGGCCACTCATCACCCCAAAAGGTGTGACCAGTTACCAGCCCAAAGGTTCCTGCTTTTCTTTCTCTGCCCAGGGACCCCTGGTGTTTACATGATGTGTGGTTTCCTGCATTTGGCCTGTGCCCCTCCTTTCTGCCCAATTCCTGCCATTTGGTCTGTGTCCCCCTTTCTCTGTTCACGTCTAGCTATCTGCCTGCTCTGACAGGGCCAGGACCCAGCAGTGGGCCTCCAGGGCCAGGGTTTGACACCAACACTGGACAGGAAGCTCCTGGCCTGAGTTGGCCCAGAACAGCACTGCCTTTTCTCTACGACAAGGTAGGGTCTGAGTCAGGGCTTAGGGGGAGCCATCAGCCCCAGGGGGAAACGTCATGTTGGAAAATCTAGCCTGCAGATTGGTTCTACCCACAAAGTTCACAAAAAGCCAAGCTGAAAATCCAGCATAAGAACTAATTTGGAGCCAATCAACCCAGTGAGTCTTCCACAGCCCGGGAGAAGGGGGACTCCCAAGTTGGGCATAGACAGCTATGGTTGGGGAATGCAGGCAAAACCACGAAACACGAAGGTATGGTTGTCAGCATTCTCCACAGCTGTTTGTGTATCTAAGAGACTTCCTTTTCTTTAAAAAGCACCACAAAAGGAAGTCCCTTGTGGTCCAGAAGACTGTTCACAGACCCAGGTGAGGAACTTTATACCCAAGAAGTTATAGGTAATAGAGATAATTTCATGAACGTGGAACAGGAGAGCCTGCTTTGTCCAAATCACAGAGGCAGAGCCACATGCAGAACTGCGGTGTCCCGTGACCCAGGTACTGCTTTCTCTATTATGGGTGAAGACTGGTTACATGGTTAAAGCTTAACTCAAATTGCTTTTGAATGAAGATAGATTTTCCCCTCTAGAAATGTATGTACAAATGAATATAAATGGAGCCAAAGGTAAGGTCTTCAAATGCTAACATTTAAAATGGTATTGCAGGATAAATAGAATCATGTATCACCGTATTGAAACCAAAGATCCAAGGACCCGGGCAAGGTCTTTTCTTTCCCTCCGCTTCCACTTAAGGGTGTAAGTCGTTGCTCCAAGACCAGAGCGGAGCCTGACTTCATGATGGAGTCGGTCACTCCTGCACCATCCTCTCTCCTAGAGTATGGACGCTGGACTGAGATTAGGGATGTTGATTGAGATCGGTTGGTTGCTGACTAGCTGTGTGACCTTGGACAAATCACGTGACCTCAGCCTGATTTCCTCCCCTGAAGAATGGAAGGGGTTGGTCTAGCACTGGGTGAACCCTAGGGCTCTGTTCATTTCCCAGCAGGAGCCTCAAAGCCTTCACAGCATGAGAGGGATGTGGCCACAGACAGGAGGTCAAGGGGCCAGAAAAGGAAGCGGTGCCAGCCCCTCAAGCTCAGTTAGGAAACCTCCAAGATGCCAAGGACCAAGACTGACCCAGGACATCAAAGTGATACCATGTATGACTGAGGTCAGAGACTAAAGCATTTTAGGGAAAAGCAAAATTTCATTTTATTTAACTCAGTTACTTCTAGATGAGCACGACCTCATTTCTGAGCATGAATGCGGTTCTCCTGATACCTGACCCTCCACCATGTATACAGATGGAGTTAACTGATGAAGACCCAAGTCTGCGGACCCTGCAGCCCTCCACCCAGCTCGTAGCACCTCACTTGATCAGCAGGTTAGTGGAGTAAAGAAGCTAGAGCCTTCTCTGGAAGGCCAGTTAGAATTGCCTTCAGGAGAAAACAGCAGGCTGTGAACACACAAGTCATGCCAGCTAACTGCAAAAACACCCACAAGGGCCCTCCTAAGAGTCGTCGCTGCTGTGAGTCAGACCTTTGGAGAACCAGCGCCCCATCCCTGGATTGGCCGCTGGGCTCAGCGCTCACAATTACCTTGTCATTTCTGGTCCTGAAGACAACTGACAGGCCTGTGCCTGGGTGAGGACGCCAGCCCTTTCAGCTGTCTCCTCTTCCCACCTGGAGTAAATTCACCCACTTACCTGGAAAACTGAACAGCCAGTGAGAGCGAGAGACAGCTGCAGTTGTGTGTACCCTGGGTCAACTTGATTTTCCTTTTTTGTGGTTCTCTACAAAGGACAGTGTGAGTTGTGTAGCAATAAAGTCGCTTCCCAAGTTCTTTCCTCTACCTCCAACAACCCCTCCAGGGCAAACAGCAGTTCCATTAATGATTGGCAGACTTGAGAAAGCCGAGCCATCAGTGCGGTTCCAGATTTCCATTGCCGCGCCCTCCCAGCATCAGGAGACAAACCTTCAACATTTAATGAGGCAAGTGATGAAACGTTTTCTCATATAAACTCTGTGCCTGGGGGGAGGGATATAGCTCAGTGGTAGAGCGCATGCTTATCATGCACGAGGTCCGTGTTCAGTCCCCAGTATCTCCACTTTAAAAAAAAGTGCCTAGAGTCACAGTCTCGATGCTTTAGATGTCACAAGCAGTAGTTAAACTGCCAAGACACACAAGCTGTCCCAGCCTCAGCACTGTTGGCATTGGGGCCTGATCACTCTTCGTGGAAGTTGGGGGTGGGGGCTGCCCTGTGCACATTTAGCAGTATCTCTGGCCTCTACCCACTGGGTGCCAGTAGTATTCCAGTTGTGACAACCCAAAATGTCCCTAGACATTGTCAAGTGTCCTTGAGGGAAAGGAGGAAAGTCACCCCGTAGTTTAGAACCACTAGAACAGGCCAGTGTAACTTGTATTATGAGACAAAAGCTTAGCTGGTCTCACCCCTGTGGGCCTCGTGTTACCGCTTTGGACTTAAATCTGCATGAATGTTTTCTAAAGCAAGTCACATTCAGGAGGCCCAGTCCTGAGGACAGACTGGCTGGTCAGGCCTGTTAGCAAATCATCTCCTTTTGGCCAGAGTCTCCAGATCCTAAAGTTTCATGGGTATGAAATTTGCTTTGTAATCAGCCTCTTTAGTCTCGTGAAAATTGAGTTGTAAGAGCAGAAAATAAGACGTCTAATTTTGTGATTAAGAAACAGCAATAGCAGCATGGAAGTTTGGGCCCCAGTTTTTGGTGTGGTGGAGTACCTTGTTGGTTGTTTTTTTAAGATCCTTCCATAGGGTCCAGAGAACCTTTCTGGCACATTCCTTTGGGAAGCAAACCATGTTTACTTACAGTTTTTAAGTACACGTGGCTGCCGGGAATCCTCAGGACAAGAACTCAAATGGCCGTTTGATGTTTAATGGACTTCTAATTTTATAAGGAAAGAAAGTTTCCAACATTTTCCTTGTTCATCTTCCAAACTATTTTCATTCTTACAGTTGGCAGATTTTTATCCCCAACAGTAAAATAGAGGGGGAAACAGGACAGAATGGTAGCTATGATTCCTGTCACGGGCCATGTCAGCCACAACCCTGCAAGTCAGACTTTCACCGTGGTCAGATTGGAAAATAAAAATTGAAGACTAAAAGCAGCAGGAACCATGAGAAAATCACCATTTGTCCAAACTGGTGTTTATCTGGCTCAAGCAAAGTTTATACCAACAAACTAAAACATCTTAGAACAATTTACCTTCCAAACTGTAAAAGCTCATCTTGTTAAAGAGAAGTATTTACATTTTAAATTTCTTTGATCTGAATGCCTGCCTCCATGGAAATCGACATCATTAAATCCCCATGGCCTTATCATAATGGACGAGAGGAATTTAAAGGTGACCTGTTTTGGTTTTTTTGATTAGCTGAATTATAGGCAGCTGGGTAATTCACTCTCCAGTAATCCTTTCAAAACGGCCTGACTGCTTAAGGAGCTTTCCAGGTCTGCAGTCTTATGCTGTAACCTTAACAGCCAGTTCACTGCTCATTGGAAGTGATGATCCAACTTTACAACGTTGCACTTTTGGAAGAGAATTTCACTGCTGTCTTTGATTCCAGGAGAAAAGCATGCTGTAACTACTGTGTGGCTCTCCACCCCCACCCCAGAAAGAGCCTCCCCGAAAAAGAAGTTCAGTCCCATGCTGCTGACAGTAGCGATACTTTGGATTTTTTGTGAACTTAAAAAGAAGAGGTCACTGGACTCAAGCAAACATTTGAGATCATTGCTTTATTTCACTATTTGTTCAACAACAAAGTTCATTCCTCTCAAGGTGGATCTTGAACTGTTCCTTGTGTTCTTTTCCTCGTTCTGAATAAAAAAGATAATGAAGAAAAAGCCTGTACTTCTGGAGACCTAGAATCTTGATTATGCTAATAAGCTTTTGACTGCAATTTCGTGTTACGATATTTCCTGCTGGCATCTCGGTGGTCAGACGGAGCTCCCCACCCTCCAGTGAAGATGGCTGTCCACAGCTACCACCATTGAAACCAAAAGTAAGTGTTGAAAAATGCACCTTTTACAATAAAAAAGTAGAAACCAATTCAATTTCCTCTTTTTTACGAATATAAAGTCTCTTGTAAATATGTACAGTCTTTGAGCTAGTTCTATAGCAGGAAGCGTTTCACAAATGAGACACACGATATACACTGTAAGGGTTGAGGAGCCCATTTCTCATGGAGATCCTAAATGAAATGCCAAGACTGAAAGACCAGTGTTCAGTGACCTTTCCAAATACTCGTGGACCAAGAGACACAAAACTTCAGCAAACATTCAGTCGGATCTGCCCCGGGGAAGGAGGGGCTGCAGTGTGACTGCCAAAGACGAAGCAACGCGTAAAATGACAGCATGACGTTGGCCAAGGCGCAACATGGAGGGAGAGTCGTGGGCATTTCACACGAGAAAGCACTTAGGTTAAGAGACGAGCAGGAAGGAGCCGGGACTCGGGCCAGGTTGCAGTCTGGAAGAGGGAGCTGAACTGTGGACACGTGAGTTGAAACGTGGTCACGTTCACCTGCTGTGGTGGGAAGAGGTCTACCTTTCCGCCTGCCTAGGATGGGCCTGGGTTGTTCGAGGCGTGGAGAATCCCAAAGAAGCAAGAGAGAGGCCTTGTGGGAGATTAAAGGCAGAAGTAAGGCCGCTTGTTAGCTTGCCAACTGCAAAGCCTCTAATTGGTTCTTTACCACTCGCCGGGGACCTCGCGCTGACAGGGTGGGCCGCGCTGCACCTGCGGAGGGCGGCCAGACCCCGGCAGGGGTGAGAGTCGGGCTGTGGCTTCCTTCTCCAATTTCCTGGTCTTAGGCTAGCCCTAGGGAGAGGCTCATTTGGGAAGTCACAGTTTTTGTGGGGTAGAACCTTGCTGGATTGTGTGTGAACACAGAGTCGGCAGGGAAGCGTGGAAGTGTGAGGTGGTGGTTTGCTGAAATCCTTCTCTGGTCGTAAGGCTTGAGCGTTTGGTTTTGTGTGTGTGTTCAGTGCTACAGACTGCAGCTTGTGGTGGCCAGTGAGTTGGCAAGTCGTCAGAGAGTCTCAGTTCGGCGGGAGCTAGGGGATGGGGCTAGCGTGTTGGCAGAGCAACCCAAGGCGGGCAGCCAGGTCGGGGGGCAGCACATGCAGCGAGCCGCCATGCAGAGCTCCCGGGTGGGCCTCTCCCTCCCTGGGGAGGGGGTGGAGAGCAGCGCGCCGTCACAGCAGGAGCCAGGTGCCCCCTGGTCACCTCCTGGACCCAGAGACCCACCGGAGCTGGGCTCAGAGCAAGTCTAGTGCATGCTTTCCTGGCGAAAGCTACGTGGAAAGCGGGGACAGCAGGCTGGGGGATGACACTGAGGGGCAGGGAGGGAAAGCTCCTCGAGGTCCCTTGGCCCCAAGTCACCGCCTCTGAGCCGAGGCCCGATGACCTCCATACATTCTCAGCTGGTGGGAGGGGAAGTCTTCAAGGCCCTAAAAGGCAATGAGAACGGTAAACATTTGGCTAAGAACAGGGCCATCTGTGAGGATGAACTGGAGCAAGGATGAGCCGATGTGAGTGCGGGAGGTTAGCCAACCAGTGGGGGCTCTTCTACGATACATTTTAGCAGCAAAGACCTGATGGTGTGATCTCGCTAAAAATGACTACAACAGGAAATACAGTGCTATTCAAATCTATTAAGAATTCTGTCATCTTAAAAAAAGAAAGAAAAACAGAAAAACAAAAAACCAACCCTAGGATCTTAAAGTAGCTATTAAGTAGGATTCTAACCACAGTGTAGTTAGCCCCCCGGTTGGTTTCCTTTGATGAACTGGTACAGGCTGGAGCTAGGTACAAAAGTTTATGAATGCTTTGAAAGAGTAACAAAGTGCACAGAGGATGGCTGCAGGGAGGTGCCAGCAGCCCCTCAGAGCCTCGGCCGCCTGCCCTCCTGGAGGCCAGCTGTCGCTGCCGAGGTGGGTCTGGGTCCAGCTGCCCCGTGGGCTGGCCGAGCAGGTGGGTGCTGGGTCCCCTTCAGCAGAGTTCCATAGTGTGTTTGGTGTTTTCCTGCAGATTAAGATGAGTTGGTTTTTCTGGCTGAGATTTATACCGAAGACTGGTCCCAGACCTAGGAGCAAAATCAGGAGCAGGTTTAACCATCAGAGGCCAGAACTCAGTGTGCTCACTAGGCGAACAGGAAGGCTGCAGCCCCCGCTGTCCCCTCCAGCAGTTTCCGGTGAGTGCTCTGCGGGGCGGCACCGGCTCGCACAGCGAACCCTCAGAGCTTGCAAAACTCACTGACAAGTCCCCAAGGCTGTGTAAGTACTTCTATTATGCATACACACAAGCCACTTCATGGGTAAATCAGTAAGGAAAAAACATTTAAAACGGCTTTTTCTCCTCTCTTTAGTGGCAGGGGTGCCAGCAGGGAACTACAGATGGCACGCAGAGGGTGCAATCCAGAAAACCAGCCCCTGGTGACAGGAAGGTGGCTTTGCTGTCCAGAGGGGTCCCCTGGAACTGGCCGGCTGGCCGAGGAGGCACCAAGCCCACAGGTGCATCCCTGAGCCTTCAGCACATCCGCCATCTCCTCAGTGGCTAACCTAAAAATTACACAGGTAATAGATGGCACATGATTTAAACATTGCAAAAGGTTCAGAGTTCTGGAAGGCAACCACTGTCACCAGCTTCTGTGTGGCCCTCCAGAGAAACCCCTGCCGTTCTGGTGTAATTGTCTGAAAGCAGGGAGACAGAATGCTTTGAATAGCACGTGGCCGTTTGGGTTGAAGAAGGGCGGATACACGTCTGTGTGTGCATGGACCTTCTCTCGAAACAGAACACTGGTTGCCTGTGGGGACGGGAACGATAGCCCCTTGGGTAGCTGTTTACACTTGGCGGTACACACACTAGCTGTCTGCTTACGGAGGCAGCCTCTTTTGAAGTACATCTTTACTGCCCGGTAGCAAAGCCGCCTGCCGCCCACTGCGGCCCAGACCGTGCTCACCTTGTTGACCTGGGACAGGGGGGTCCGCACGGCTCCCACCGGCAGCCGGCCCCTGCTGCTGTCCTCAAACAGCCTCCCGGGGGAGCGCTCCCTCCGCGTGCTGAGCATCCGGCCCGGGGACTTCTCCCGCTCCAGGGGGCGGCCGGGGGACTTGTCCCTGCGCAGCTCCGTCCGCCCCTCGCGGTAGCGGTGGGGTGTGCTTGGCTCTCGCGGGTGGCTGGGGCCTTCGGGAGGCGCTGGGCTGGAGGCCACGCGCTTGGTGATGTGCTCGTTGTAGGTGGGCGGGCCTCGCTTGTTGGGGCTGCTGGCAAGAGGAGAGGGTGGGGGAGCTGAGGAGTCACCACCCCAAAGGGGCGTCTTCCTTCTTCACTAGCCCCCGACCCCGAGCCCTGGTCTCACCGCTGCTGCTGAGATAAAGATCTCACCTGGGGTTCAAGCGCTGCGTCTGTTTTACCTTGACAGGACAGGGACAGGAGGCCGAGAGGGCAGCGAAAGGAAATCTGGCTCCCTGGTCAGGACGCAGGCTGCGTACTGAGCACCTGCAGCCTGTCGGGCCCTGTGCTAAACTCTTCAAGGACCCTAACTCAATAAGTCACCCTCACAGCTCCACAAGCCAGGAAGAAGCAGCCCCCTGCCTGCACAGATAGGAAGATGGAAACACAGAGGCTGGGACTGCAGTACAGGTGGGTCTGACGTCCTGCCCCCACACTGTATCCCACTGACCAAGCAGTGTTTTCCAGAGCATAGAGGGCACAGCAGCAAGGCTTCACGGGGCAGGTGCGTGTTAAGCTGCTAAAAGGCCCTCAATGCGAGGGAGCAGTTTTGAGAAAGCCTGTACTCAGCACTGTCAGCTGCCCTGTGTCTGGTCACCTCTCGCTCCAGGTGGCTTCCCGGCATGAGAGGTGTAGCAGTCAGGCCCGATACAATCAGGAGACTGAGCAGGGCAGAGAAAATGTTCCTGCCCTGAAGGTTGGTGGTTATTAACCAGTAAGAAACACTGGGGCCTTTTTGTATGACCGGTCCAACCCTCCACCCAGCCTGGAGATTTCAAGTGAAGATTTCACTTCTCTGAAAAAGCAGGATCCAGAAATACAGACAGAACAGAAACACCGCGCCTTCGAGTCAGTTCCTTCCCACACCCGAGGAGTAGGAGGAGGACCTGGACACTCGCTACCTGAGCATAATTAGCGCTGGAAAAAGGTAACCTACTTAAAATGGGAACATTTCACAGACAATATTACTTAAAATTACTTAAAGACGTTTTGATTGATTGGGGCTTTATCTTGGAAAAATAAAAGTAGAAATCAGGAAAATAATTTTATCCTAGATATTTTAAAAATCTAAATTACAATTGCAGTTACATGCTTATTCTAAGACTGAACCAAGGATGAATCACAAACTGGTTGGTTGTGTTCTAATTTTCGCAGCAAAGTTGTATGCTTATCTGCGTGGTGACATCCTTTACCATCAACATTGGATTTTTTGCAGTAAAATCACAAAGTTATTTCTTAAAAGATATCTGAGAAGGTTATTGGTTTTACACAAGGCCTCTTGTAATCCTTGATATTTAAATCTTTCCCTTTGGATGGGACCAAACTTGTTACTTTTCCCTTCAATTATTGGTCTATCTGTACAGAACCTCTTTTGTCTGTGCCCATAAATGGAAAGCAACTAAGCAAAGATGCTGACCCAGTGGGGCAAAGGAAACTCGAGGGCAAGCCTCAGGGCCAAATCCAGTGCCACAGGGACACGGCCACGCCCACCTGGTTATGCACTGAGGCTGCTTTTGCAATCCCACAACAAAGTTGAGCCGTTGAGACAGAGATCATGTGGTCAGCAAACCCGAAAGTATTTCCTTCTGGACCTTTCCACAGTTCGCCAGTTCCTTCTCTACAGTAGAACAGACTGGTGAGCGGAGCAGAAGTGTCTCAGGGGTCGGTGCCTTGTGATTAGCTACCTGTCATTCTCTTGCTGCCCCACGCAACTCCAAATGTGGAAATTCCAACAACTGCTCAGAAAGCCAAAACTTCCCTGTGTGTGTGTGCAGCAGTGAAATTTGAGATAAACTTTGATTTCAGGATGTTGAAATCTGAGTTACCGTTACCTCTAGTCATGTGGCTTTGTGATGATATGGAAAACAAAGAGAAATTTCAAGTAGAATTCATTAAGCCTATTTGTTGTGGAAGAGAAATTATAAAAATGTGTCCAGAGGGGCCCTTCATAAAGCAAGTGAGAGGGGTGCTCACTGCCCAGCAGCAGAAAGATGGCTGAAGGAAGGCCATTCGAGATGGCAGCTTAGATTCATGGGAAGATGGGCCCCGCGGGGCAGTCTTCCATCTCCATCTCCATCACCAACCAATGATCTACCACGTCAATTTTATGTTTCTTGCAGAGTTACACTCCCTGCTCCACTAAACAGACCAGGGCAATGCGGCCTGCATTTGACCAAGCTGGCCTTCTCTGTTCTGAACCTGCCCCAAACAGCCAGCAGCAGAAAGGCTATTTCACAAGCCAAGAGACAGCTGAAGGCTAAATGTTGTTTCCATGCCCGTCTGGGGAATCAGCAGTATTTCTGCCCCTTGTTCACAGGACCTGGAACCATTTTTCAACCACAGAATAAGTGCTTACAGAGACACCATCTCATCTCAAAAGGAAGGTGCCATCTCATTTGTGAGGCAATGGAGGAAAAAACCCGAATGGCAGTACTTTGGTTTGCTCTTGGCATCACTCATCTAGCTGTTCTTTAAGTAGCTTCCATTTTCAGGGGAGGACTGAGCAGTCACTCCTGAGGCAAAAGGGCAAGCCGAAGAGGTGCAGCTGGTTAGTGGGGACTTCTGGTTTTCCAACAAGTTCCTGGGATTAAAATCACACTGACAGAATGTTTCAGACTAACACTTAGATTTCAGCCAAAAAAAAAAAAAAAGACTATTCATTAGGACATAGTATTATAAAAGAGAGCCATCAATTTAATATCCTAAGGTGTAAGCATTTTGTAACATTAGAGGTGGTTTCTCCACCAACCTGTGAGTCCCCTTGAGAATAAAAAGTGTCTTCATCTGTGTCTCCCAGCACTGCCTGGCACACAGTCGGAGACCCACATCATTCTTTATAGGGCAGACGTCAGGTTTTCAAACCAGTCCACAGAATTAAATACTCCCCTAGGTTAAATAAGCTCGTCTCCTTTGTGGACCAAGAGCTTCTAATTACACATCTCAAACCTACACATCGAAGTGGGGCTGGCTTGTAGCCCCGTGTGGCAAGAAACGCCAGTCCCATTTCCACATAGTGCTGGCAGGATTACAAAAGGGTACGGCCCCCAGGGAGGAAAACTCATTGGGTGCCACCCAGCGACTCCTCTTCTAGGAATCCACCCTCCAGATAGATGCCTAAGTGTGCAAAATGACACATACAGAGTCATTTACTACAGCAGCAGGCTGGAAACAACCCAAACATCCACTGATAAAGGAGCAGTTAAATAAATTAACGTGCAGGAATGCTACGCAGGCTTAAAAAAAATGAAATACTTCGAATACTGACGCGGAGCAATCGCCAAGATACAAAAGATACAGAAGAGTACGCACAGTGTATTATCGACCTGTATTAAAAAGAAGGGGACGAGCACTTCCAGAATGGCAGAGTAAGGCCCCCCGAAAACCTGCTCCTCCATAAAAGCAACAAGAACTCTGGCAACATTGTCAAAATCAGCTTTTCAGAACTCCAGCAATTAACCAAAGTCTTGCAATAATTCAAAGAGTGCTTATGCAAGAAAAACAGCTGAATTTCAAAACAAGAAGCTTTGTGGTATTTCAGCCTGACCTGTTCCTACCCTTCTCTGCCCAGATCCGCAGTAGTTTTGAAAGCAGCAGCCTCGCACACGCGGTAGCTGTGAGAACCAGCAGCCACTGCGGGGAGCCCGTCAGGACTGGGCTCTCCAGAGAGCCTCATCCCCAGAGAACTGGCCCTGTGTGACCTATCTGGCTCCCCCCTGGAAAAAGACCATCCTCAGGGTTGGTTTTTATTTGACCTGAGTCAGGTCTTGCTCAAGAGAAATGCCCTATGTCTAGACATTTATCCAGAAACAGTCAGCGGTAATTCCTTAACCCGGCAAATGCCTGAGGCAGTGAGACCAGTTGGGGAAAGCAGGAGGCTGGCTGAAGCACTCAAAAGCTGGGAATGGGACAGACGTCTTTGTGGGGTTTTGAAATACTCCTAGGGAACCGTGGGGCCCCCCACACAGGTGAGGCTGTACACAAGCCCAGGAAAAACATGAGAAAGCTTCAGCCTCTCAGCTGTGGCTGACCTGGGGTGTTGAAGGTGAGCCCCGAAACACATGCGCACAGCCGCTCAGCAAAGGCTGGGAGACTTACTTCAGTGCCTTGAGGACATCTCTGTCCAGTCATTTAGCTGACCACCACCCTAACCAAAGAGAAACTTCAACGGCTACACAGACGAAGGACACAGACGGGCTTTACAAAATTAGTCTGGGAGAGCCACTAAACAAACAGCAGCAAACCTGGGGGGATCCGATTACCAGAGTTGCCATGTTCTGTTATTTGAAATACTCAGTTTTTACGTATAGCACAGGGAAATATATACAAGATCTTGTAGCTCACAGCAAAAAAAAAAAGTGACAATGAATATATGTATGTTCATATATAACTTAAAATTGTGCTCTACACTGGAATTTGACATAACATTGTAAAATGACTATAACTCAATAAAAAAAAGTTAAAAATATTCAGTTTTTAGCAGAAAAATTACAAGACACTCGAAGTAAAATGTGGGCAGTAGTCAGGGCCTCATTTCTTCGGGGACAGCCTCTCTGGCCCCAGGTCTAGGCTGGGGTCCTTCGAGCTCCCACGGTGCCTTAAACTACCCCAGCCCGAGCCTGCCTCCTGGCTCTAGACTGTGCTGTAATCACCTGATTGCACATCTCCCCTCCGGGCCCTCAGGGAGGGGGCTGCATCTGGCTTACTCACTCTGCCTCCCTCAGCAAGCCCCACTAGCACGGCAGACAATCTGCTAAGGCAACGAATGCATAATTCACGCGCCATTCCAAACACACCACTGAAAATAACCCCAGAGAAAGGCCAGACATTTCCTTCCGCCTTCTACAAGAGGGCATTAAAAAATTCTCCTGCTGCTTACAAAGGACTGTGTCATTTCAGTGCTGTACATCTCAAAGAAATGAGTGGTTTGTGCTTTAAGATTGGGAAACTAAACTAGTTTAGCAAGATCTTCTGCTTTGCAGAAAAGCATTCTGTTCCCTGTAATGAGGAAAAGCAAGGGTGCGGTACCTGCGGGAGGTGGACGGGCCCCGGTGGTGGTCAGTGCCAGACTCCTTCACGAGGTTTCCTTTGCAGCAAATGATCCTTAATTTATCCTGGTATGAGGATGCCAGGTATATCGCCCCCGAGGAAATTGCGGGGCCCAGGTAGCGTGGGTTGGGGATTTCCAAATACGCTCGGGCGGGGGTCCTGCAGAGTTCCGGACGAGAGTGTGCAGGGCTGGTTACCGCCATCGCGACGCAGGGTAGGGAGATGCACCGCCCGGCCCCAGCACTCAGCCCCAGCTGCTGAACTTCTCAAAGCCTGGAGGACGTCACTTACCCCAGAGAGGAGCGTGCCTGGATTTCAATTACTTCCAGTGAGTTGAAGTGGGTCACAAATAGATAGGGTTCTCTGTAGGCTGCGTGGCCACCGGAGAGCAAGAGCGTGGGGCAAGGAAGGGTTAAAAGACAGAAAATCAAAACCTGGCTGCGTGCAGCCTTGGACCCAGCAATCCCACCTGAGGAATTTATCCTACACGTGGAACCACGTGCCAGCAGAATGAGGCATGTTCAAGTCTGTTCACTGCCATGTTGCTGGAGCAGCATCATGGGGGACGAGCTGTGCTGCTCACAGTCCACCTGTGGAATGTGCCCGGCTGGAAAAATGCATGAAGGGGCCCTCCGTGCACTGACAGGGGAGAAAACCCAAGGTGTGTAGTTTAAGCCCATGAAGCAGCGTTCAGAAGACTGTGAGGTGTGCTACCACACCGATTTTTTTAGAAAAGGGAGGGGAATGAGAATATACTTTTTAATGTGCCTGTATTTGCTTAAAGCACTGGACAGGTGAGAAACTCATAGAAGTTTCTTCCCTTGGGGGGGTGGGGATGGAGGATTTGGGAGGTGGGTTGACATGGGGGAGACCTGTAGACCTTTTTAAACTGTTTAATTGGCTACATTTTCAAAAAGTTTAATTAAGAAAGACTGGGTTCATAGATAATTAAATATTTCCAGTCTTACTACTCTATTTCTATATCATAGTGTCACTGAGACCCTAGGATAAAACAGGAGCTGGTTTTGGTCTTAAAGGGACGAGATCATCACTGTTGTCCCTTGCAGTAAACTGGTACTCCAGTGTCTGTCATGCCTCCCAGTCCCCATGCCCCTGTGGACTCTCCTTGCATTGAATCTGGCCTCCAACCCACAGAATGTGGTGGAAGCCAGAAGGCCTGCCAGCTTCCGCTTGCACACTCTTAGAAGCAGCCCACGGGGAGAGGAACTGAGGACCCCAGCCCCCAGCCCCCAGCCCCCGCTGGGCTCCCACCGGACCGTCAGCTCCAACCACCTGCCACGCTGTGAAGCCAGGCCCTTGCTGACACCGCATGAAACAGAACTGTCCAGTCAAGTCACAGAATCTTGGGCAATGGTACATAGTTGTGTGAAGTCACTAGGTTTTGAAACTTGTGAAGAAGCAACAGACAAAACAGCCTTGAAGGGTCTTTCAGACAAATACTTCATGAGGCTGGGGGATTCGGCTTCTATGGTTCTGCCTCAAGCCTCAGAATCTCTGCCCTGAACGCTTACTCGGGTGACACTACACGTGGTGGCAGTGGACTCCCCAGGCACAGTGCTTAAGCCAAAATGAATTCCACCCACAGCTCTTTCCCAGGACCCTAACTCTTGGCAGAAAAGAGCCCTCACACCCTGCCTCACCTACCGAAGGCCAAAGGTAAGCGACTCCACTTGAGATCGTCTGTGCGGCTACGTCTTCCATAAGAATCCACGAACACCCCGAATTCTGCAAGGAGGCACAGCCAGGGCATCAGCCCAGCCAGAGGCGGGGGGACCAGCGACAACACACTTTGATGGAGGAATATGGAACTGAGCCCAGGGGACCAGATTTCACTGGGTCAGGAAAACCTCAGGACCTTTGCTGAGCCACATCTCTTTGGGATTAACGAAAGAGGGCTTGTGTGAAAAGGGGGAGATAGGAAACAAAGGGGAAGACAACAGGAAGAAGAATCAGGGATGGGGAGAAACAGACCCAGAGATCTGAGCTGGGGGAAGAAGGAAAGAGAGAAGGAGAGGGGGAGGAGCGAGGGACAGAGAAGGAAAGAACTGGCTGCTCTTTGGAGACGAGGACAGCGCTGGACCAGGCTCGTGCCCGTGGGGGGTCCCGGTGGTGCTGGACCGGCATTCTCTGTTCTCTTGGCAGGACCAGCCCTGTCCCTGGGCCCCTGGCCACACCCGCCCCGTCCGCAGCTGGCGGCATCCCCGACTCACCGTGGAAGCAGAGCAGGTACTCCTCCCGCTGCCCTGCGCCGTTCACCTGCATGATGGACACGGGGAAACTGTTGGAAGAGGAGGCAAACACAGCAGGTGCCAAGGAGTGGTCATTCTTATCCAGGAATTCTGTAAAGGCAGGCGAGAGGCGGGGCCTCAGGAACGAGGGGCCCCGAGGAGTCCGCGGTGGCCACAGGGCTTGGCAGTAGTGGGGTTTGGGGGAGACTGGGGCCCTACCCTCCAGCGTGTACTGCTTCATGTCAATTTCGTAGAATTTATTGGTTCCGATGAGGATGCTGTAATTGGTGAAGTGGATGCAGCTGCAGGGCTCCGAGGTCTCAATCTCCTGAGACAGCGGGCAGAGAGGAGGCTGTGAGCACGGACCTGGGCGGCCACTCTTCCCCACTGTCCTGGGGCCACCACAGGCATCTGACCAAGCCCTGCAGGCGTCGCCTCCAGGCTGTTCACGTCCTCACGTCAAGCACGTCAAGTCTCCACACCCCTCGTGGGGAGGACCGGTCATCCTTTTGCTACCTCTGGGTTCTATGCACCCTCAGACTAAGAAGGTCAAATTTGCAGCCAAAAAAAAGGTCAGAAACACCATTTAAATGAAAAGGTAACATTCAAAGAAAGCTTTAAAAATAAAACGCTCTAATCAGATGGAAAAGCTGGGGAAATACACCGACAGCGGTGGTCAGAGGGAGTGGTGTCAGTTTCCTTCCTTTTGAAAACGTCTCAGTTTCTATTTTGAACCTGTATTACCTACAGGATTATTAGCATCATTACTGAATTATCTGTCTGAATTATCTGCTTCCTCATTACTGAATTATCTGTCTGAATTATCTGCTTCCTCATTACTTCCATTTGTTTTCAGGCCAGTCGTAAGAGCTTCAAAAACCTAGGCATATCTATTCAATATGATGGCCAGGAATTATTACGAAGCAATGGTTTCTGAGAAATGTCCCGAAGCTAATAGCTCAAACTCTAATCAGCACTGTCATCACCACTGAGTATGTACTGATCCCCTGCTAAGCATGAGAAGGCTAGCGCAACAGGGAAAATCGGGGGAAATCAAAAGCTCAGTTTTGGTGTCAGCCGTCTAGCCTGGGATCTCGGCTAGCCTCAGCCATCTCACCTGACAGCTATGGGGCACGGGCCCTGCTCTTCAGAACTGTTGTGAGAAGTGCTTGTAAAACAGGCCGCTTGTCTTCAGGAGCGGTAGGTGCTCAATGAAAACACAAAGCAGCCTGCCCCGGAGGAAGGTTCTCTAACAGGGAACGACCCCTGTACGTTCACCCGTCCTTTTCTGACACTGATCATGAAAGCATCTGAAATAAACTGGGCTGATGGTGGGCAGAACGTTCTCAGTCTGGAGACAGGAGACGGCCTTCTCCCAAAGGGAGGCTCATGTAACGATTGAGGGGAAAGCTCGTCCCCACCGCAGTCATCACCGTCACAGCCCGCTCAGCCCCGAGGAGAGCCGGCTCCCACTAGCACTGTCTTTTCTAAAGATTATTAATAGAAACTTCTATAGTCTGAGAAAGAGTCTGGTTAAGTGCCACCAGGGGCTGCTGGCTTCTCAGAGAGACCTTCCTTTTTTCTGCTGATTCAAAAGAAGTGTCTCCTCCCTCAGTCAGCTTCCCTTCTCTCTGAACAAAAGGTTGAACTCACTGGGCTGGCCAGGGAGAAGGGAAGCAGGAGGGAAGCCAGTGACAGGCAGCTCCGGAGCCCCCGGGGAAGCAGGGAGCGCTCTCCAGGAGGTCCCCGGGCTGCAGGACTCTGGGCACGGGCCAGGCGCCCCACAGCTCCCCTCCAGCTCTCCGGGCGAGCAGGCCGGACCCGGCCGGGACGTACCTTCCGAATGCAGTACTTGCTCAGGTTCTCGTTATAGCGGAGAACAACAACTTTGCTGGGCGTGGCCGCACAGATGCAGAGCCCGCCCTCGATCTGCAGCGCCATTCGGGGGCGGAGGGGGAGAAAGACAGAAAACCATCAGCAGAGCGCACGCGGACTCCGTGCAGAGCTAGGGAGCGGACACCAGTGTGGAGCAGGGTCTTGGGTGGGGCCTGGGGGACGCTGGGGACCGGATGCTGCTCTGTGGGGAGGGGCTGCCCAGCGCTCTGTCAGATGTTGAACAGTGACCCTGGGCTTCACCCATCAGGTGCCAGTGCTGCCTAAAGGAAGCAGCAGAAATCTGACCCGGTTTGAGGACATAAGAGTTTTCAAGGTCAGATCAGTCAGCCCTTTGGGAAGAGGGGCAGGGACAATCTCAAGAACATTCGCCAGCCACGGCCCAGAGGAGAGCTTACCTTGCCAGCAGCAAACAGGTGGCAGCCCTTGACAGCTTCAAAGATGCTGGGCGAGATGTCCGGCTGGGCGGGCAGGTGAGACTGTGCAAGGGACTGTTTCACTTTCTTCACATCCACGAGACACAGTGCCCGCTCCTCCCCTGAGGGCAGAGGGAACAGCGCCTCCGTCAGGGTGAGGCCGTGAAGCAGAGACAAGGGATGACAGTTCTAGGTCTGTCCTGGACTAAAAAGCCTCGCGCGGCCACGCAGATGGACTGATGTCCACAAGTTCAAATAAACACAGTTCTAGATCTAAACGGAAAACACCTGGCCTCGTGGCCACAATTCTGGCAAAGGAAAAAAGTTCTGCAGACATGAAATCAGAGAATGGGGACTGTACTTTCAAACATGCTCC